GTTCAGCTTCTGGTCCAAGAGAACCTTCATAACCACTCCTGCAAGGTTACTATCCACCAGCCTGAGGGGTTTTCCATCCCTGATACATGCTGGGTATTTTCTGAGAGTCATGTCAGCTAATTTCTCTAGCCTTTTAAGGTCCTTCCAAATGGCAGCCCTGCTCTCCAACATGTGGGCTGCTCCCCGTAGCTGAGTGTCACAGGTAAAATTGCTGAGGACCTGGGTGATGGTCAGTGTGTTTTAAACTCATTCAGTCAGAGCACAGAATGACAATGTCAGCAATCAGAAACCTCTTTTCCAAGCAAATATATATTTCAAGTCCAACGCAAGATTTGACAATCCTTTTCAAGTAATTTTAAGCAACTGCTTTATTTGCAGAGAATCATTTTATTATCACTTTTGTCTTCTTCCACACAATGCTTCCACTTGGTCTGTCCATGAATATTCATTGTTGATAAGATCATTTTGCCATTAAAAAAATATTTTTTCCTTTCTCATAGATGGGTGTTGGAGCTTGATGATCCTTGATGTCCTTTCTAACCCAAGCCATTCTCTAAGCCATTCTATGAGAGCAAATTGAAGTGAACATTTCTAGAGAAATATGGTCAGATGTTACAAGATGATAACTCACCTATTTATTTATTTATTTATTTATTTATTTTGTATCAGAAATCCACCTTTTCTGAGAAAATATTCAAATGCAATAATCTCATTTATGATTTCCTAAGAATACATATCTAGATTTTTCAGCCAGCCCCATTTCAAATGTTATCGGTGACCTACAAATTGTTCTTCAGTCTGAATAAATGACTTTTTAAAAATGGCAGCTAAAATTACTTGAATGGAAAGAGAAACTTCCAGTAAAATGTTGAACATTAATTTATCAGCATTAAGAAAAAAAGAAACAAAAAACCCAGTGGACACATTTAGGTTAGACAGAAGGCACAGACGTTTAGCTGTAAAGTGAGATTAACTATTGGAACTCTGCTTTTTGATGAGGTAGATTCTAAATAACTTAAAATATTGAGGTCTGAATGGTTAAATAAAGGTTTTCTTATATCTCAAATGGAGGAAGGAAGGATAGGAGGTCAGTTGAAGTCGAGCAGAGATTTGATAGGGTTTAGAAGTGCATGGCTCGTCTGTCTGCTTGCTATGGTTTAGTGTTTTTGTGATGTCATTTAATCTATGGTTGGAAATAGAAAAATTGAAGTGACTCTGGACCTGGCAAGGTCCTGAGAAGTTGGAATGGTCTCCAGAAGGTGTTCAGTCTTTCTCAAGGATGGATTCCTACAGATTTTCCTGTAGAGCTTTTGAAATCTTGCAGAAAATACAGGCCAACAGAGAGATGACAATGCTCCTCTGAGTCAAGGACCCCACAGCAATGGTCTCTACCTGAAAGGTGTGATGTTCACAGGTAGAACAGCAGTGCTGCAGGAGGGGGACTGCATAGTGTCATAGTGTGAAGAAGTAGCTTCACATTTGAGAAACTCACGTTAAGGATCTGAGATGTAAAACTTGCTGAACATATTCTTGCAGGACCCTCAGAACCCTGCACTTACAATAAGAGCACTTTATAATTCTGTTCTCTCTGAAAGTAATTGCCTTCTGCAGAGGATGTTTGGTGCTATAAGGGGCATCAGTGAAGAGAGGCAATGGCTACATTAGTAAGGAATAAAACAAGAATTCCAGTTCGTACAAAAGTAAGGTTTTCCACTTACTATATCTTTGAATCCAACTGATTAAATGACTTTGTTTATGTTTTCTTAGCAAAGAGGAAGTACAAGAGACTTTCTCTTCTTGCATGTGAATTAGAAAAGAGAACGTCACTTTTTGACATTTGTCATTCACAGGTTACTTATCTGTCTTTAGCTTATGCCCAAATCTCAGTGATCTAGCTGCTAAACATTAATGTGAGAACATGAGTTTGACATCTGCACTGAACTTGAAAACAACTGGGCTAGGATCCACTGGATTTTCCCATTAAGACAGTATTGCACTGAAACTTTCTTCAAATTTCTGCCATCTATCAGCTCAGAAGTAATTAAGATATAAGAATTTCTTAAGAACAATGTTCAGTTTTACTGTGACTCTACTGATTTTCCTGGATTTATCAGAATTGGATTAATCTGATTCCAAATCATGGCTGATGAGTGGGTGGGTTGGTGAGGTGGTCATTGTGGTGGCTCAGTAAAGTTGTCCTCTAGTCCTTTATGCAAGAGGAAGGTATTGCCTCTTTGGTTTTGATTGCATCCTCATTTATACTGGCATGATTGAGAGGAGTGTCACTGAGTCAGATTTGCACTCCAGTGACATGGACACAAGCAAGAAAAGGATTGGGCAAACTATGCCTAAACCCCAGTGGATTTGAGAGCCTTCTCCAGTAGATTAGGTAGCTTTTCTTTCTATCTTTAGTGCTGCAGTCCTGATTAACCCTCCAAGCTGTGGTCAGTCATTTTGAGGACAGTTTGATTGACAGCACATAGCCTGGTAACACTTTTCCCTGCGTTGCCTGGTGCATTCAGTCCTGGAGGTGGTTGGATGGTTTTGTTGGCTTTTGTCTTTTAATTTTATTATTTTAAAACTCCTGGATATTCAGTGAGGAAAAAGTCATCTTGAGCAAGCAACATGAAGTATTTTGATGTAAGTATGTACTGAGACTTCTCTGTTACGTATATATATTTGGCAAGATGACCATTTTTGATGTTTTGCCAGATATTCAGCAGAATGCCCTTCCAATTCTGTAAGAAACTGAGAATAAAACACTTCTCCCTGTGGCAACTGATTATATTTCATGTGATGTTTTTATGGAATTCTCTTTCTTCATATTGCATGCTGCTTCATAAGATACTGCCTGACAGACCTTTAATGTTTGGGTGGGTAACCAACTATATCACCCCAAATACATGGGACAGTATTGCTTCACACAGGTGATCCCAAAACAGCCCTGTGAAAATATCCCCCAATAAAATCGCCGTTTGAAAAATCTTTAATTTATTTGTCCCATATTTTATTTGTTTATAGTTCTTTCAACATGGTCCAGCAGTTGGAGATAGTAGAATAAATGACTGGGAAGCTGTTACATGTCTAGGAATGCAGCCAGAGTATTGCGGGTTACCGTTGGTCTAGAGACCACAATTTGTCTGGATAATGAGTTTGTTTGGAAATTACACTGCGGGTGTCTGGAAGCTCTGATGTCGGTCTCACAGGGGAAAAAATTAGGGTCAACTTTCTGAAAACTGTTGAAAAACAGAGAAAAGAGATATTTATTGTCTGCAAGATATGGTGATGCACTGACCTTTAACTGGAAAATAAAGAACTCGATAATTGCTTGGTGAAATATGTCAATAGAAAGAATAAATCACGCCAAAATCTTTTAGTATGCAAGGACATCAAAAGGAAAAGAACTGTCCAAATGATAATCCTTCAAATCATGCCTAATGTCTTTTCTCACCTCCCCAGGTTAAATTTTCAATTACTGCAGACATGAATTTGCTGTAGTGCAAAGTGCACAAGTGTTTCACTTGAGCATAGCACAGTTAGAAAGTAATGGTTTCACTCCAAAACGTAGTGAAAATTAGTGTTTGCAGGTTGTTGAATGCTGCACCTCTGAAAAACACTGATGGAATTCCCATTATTTCAAGTTTTCACAGAACTGGTTCTCTGATTAATACTTTGTTAGTAGGGCGCCTATTTTCTTGAAACTACAACTTTATTCAAATGCTGAAAGTAGCGTGGAAAAAAAAATAATAAAGGAAGTGTATCATTAAAAATGTATTAATTACTTTCTAACTCATTTTTGAACACTAAAAGAATTATTTCTCATGAGATTTTTTTTGAAGTAGCCATAGAAAATGCTATCAACTAAGAATGTAATCTGTAAAGTTAACAGGGCTCAGGTGCAGCCAGAAACCACTACCAAAAATGAGACTGTGAGATTTTTTACTTAAATCTGGGTGATTAAATTACTCCTTGGAATTGCTCTGTATGTTCATAAATTGTCATTCATCGTATTCATTATAACCAATGTTTTGACAGGGAGAAACAAGAAAGAGTAAAGTCCAGTCTCTTCTCAGCTTGTCTCCATCACAGCAAATAGTTTAAAAACAGGTTCCAAAGCCTTCAGACTCTCACACTGAAATGAACTTAGCTTTAAAAGTGAAGGGCACCAGGAGCTACCATACAAACTGGACAGATATTATCCTCCTATCTGTCCCTATTTGGCTAAATTCAAGTTTTCTCTTTTTTCAGCAGAACCGAATTTGTTGTTCTTTTTGAGGTCTTGAGATATGCCATGCTGTTTTTGTTTGTATAACTGGCCTCAATTTTCATCTAGATCTTGTCTTAGCACACTGTGGCATGGCCATGTGGAATTATTCTGAACCCAGGCTACTCTTGGTACAATCAGAAACGGTGTCTGCTACACTGTGCACTCCCTATGTGAACCAGGAGTTGGACCTAAGGATCCTTGCGGGTCTCATCCAACTTGGGATACTCTAGGATTCCGTGACCAAATTCAGTATTTTTTTTTGTTGTTTGGTTCCAGTTCATAGGCTTGATGGGTTACATGAGAATTTCAGTTCTGTTTGTGAAAAGAAAACCACAGTAATCACCAGTTCTGACCGTTTCAGAAAAAAAAACCTCAAAGATATCAGCAAGGAAGACACAAAGCTCAGAAGGACAACAGAATACAAATATCTGTTTCTGTGGGTTTTGCCTGGGGTCTGACTTGTGGTTTTGTGTCTCGGGGGCTACTGACACCGACTGAGTTCTCACTGGCATCTGCAGGACAAGGATAGTTTAAGTGTGAAGAGCAGTGTTGTGGCTACTCTTGCTGCTTTATTTCCTCACATCTACCTGAGACACAACTCCACGTGTCAGAATCTGAACCTCAGATGGTAAAACAGTTGTGAGGGAAAATGAACTTCAATCCCATGCATGTTGGGCTGCGATTCTGCATGACTCAAACAAACTAATCTATTTTTGCTTTTTTTTTTTTGTAGTTACCTTTAAGCAAGAGGAATGACTCAGGTGCCTGCTGACTACCTGTCCACCACCAGCTCCTACAATTATGATCAGCCCCTTCCCTCCGTGGGTCGGACAAGCACTGTCACCCAGGTACCCCCAGCCAAGAAAATAACCTTCTTCAAGAGTGGGGATCCTCAGTTTGGGGGAGTGAAGATGGCCATCAACCAGCGAAGTTTCAAGAGCTTCAATGCACTCATGGATGACCTTTCTCATAGAGTCCCGCTGCCATTTGGAGTACGGACCATCACCACCCCACGAGGAATACACTGCATTAGTGAGCTGGACCAGCTGGAGGATGGAGGATGCTACCTTTGTTCCGACAAGAAATACGTCAAGCCTATTAACATTACTTCTGCTGGGCATAGGCCAGGTCCTCCACGAAATGGTCGTCCCTCCAGTACCTTGAGAAGAGCAGCCCAGGAGGGCAGACTGGATGACTATTCCACATCTTTCACTCAGCACGGCCCCAGAATACCCAAGAAAATCACTCTTGTTAAGAATGGAGAAACTAGTTTTCGGCGCTCAATTATCTTGAACCGCAGAAACGCCAGGAGTTTCAAAACACTCCTGGATGAGATTTCAGAGATTCTGCAATTTCCAGTGAAAAAGCTCTTTACTGTTGATGGGAAGAAGGCAAGTGTCTCTGGTACCTCGTGCTCTGATGCTGTTAATTTATGAGGTGTTTTCATATCATTCCATATGATGCAAATCCTATATCCTATGATGCCAATTATTTACCCACGCTGTCTTAGCCCTTTGGACTTGTGACTGTCACATTAGTTACTTCCCCATGAGTTTTATGTAGGTATGATGTAGAACAATCTGCTTCAATCATCTAATAGTTTCATATATTGCATGCTGACTCGGGTTAATAGGAGGCAACTTCTGACATGTCCAGAAGCTCCGTATTTTGCAGAGCAGACACCTTCATTATGGAGGAGAGGAAGCTGATGCTTTACAGTATTTCAACTGTCAATAGAAATAGGCACTTTCAATTGCAACTTCATAAGCAACAGTCTAAATGACTGTAGGTATCTGGAGATGGCTTTGTTTCAGACTTAGCCACTTTAATGTCAGTGTCTAAATGTGTCCATAGGTGAGGTAAGTAGCTAAGCTCCCACACAGCTGTTGAAACTCAATTGAAGCTGACAATCAATTGAGCTTGAAGCAGGCCAAAGATAAGTGCCTACTTTACAGGCCTTCAAAATTGGTTAGATTCTTTGTTTCTAGCTTCCATTAATTTATTTGCAAGTTTACCATGAAGTTTACCATATCCCACAGCTACAACTGTATTATTAAATTTTAAAAGTGTCAGTTCACTACTTCATCCATTCTGCTAAACTCTTGGCATCCTTCCTGGTTTGGCCCAGATATTGGCCCAGAATAACCATCTCCCAGATAATTTCTGGGAAAAGCTTAAGGGTTAGGGCTTGTGACCATTCCCTGTAAGAAGTTTGGATATGGTCAGCCCAAGTTAGTGTTAGAGCAGCTGGGATGTTTCTGTTGGCTCCCATGGTGTAGAATAGGGTCTGGCACTGCTTGATTTACTATTACAGCCAATTTGAATTAGGAAAAAAAAAACAATCAGTGCTGCTTCTAAGATGTGTAACAATCTAGAGCGTTATACTTTGCTGACTATCTTTCCAGTTTTCAAGACTTGGGTTCCTGTTCAGTCTGTATGAAGATAGTAATCTTGTGTAGTGGTAGTAACATTTTCATCTTCAAGTTTTGGGAATTTTCACTCAGTTGTTTTTTTTGTTTTTTGTTTTAAAGAAACCTTTTGCCTCCTACTTAGTACAGTCTTGGTGTTCTCCTTGTGGGCCTGAAAGTTTTCCCTCCAGTCAATATAACTTCTTTTATTCCTGTTTGTTATAAACAATAATACATTAGCTGGGCTTTAGAGGTAACATACACCCTGTAAACACTTCATCTTTATTATTATTCTACCTCTATCTTTCCTTTGGAGATCATCTAGTCCATCCTCCTGCTAAGCATGTTTCTTACACCAGATCACACAGGAAAGCATCCAGGCAGGTCTTGAATATCGTGAATATCCCCTGAGAAGGCTCCACAACCTGCTGTGTGCAACTGTGCCAGCGCTCTTTCATCCTCAAAATAAAGAAGCTTTCCCTCTAGGAAATGTGTTTATTGCTGTCTTTAATGGAGAACATTTTAAAGTTTTTGGTTTTGTTTTACCATTCCTAATTTTAATCATTTACCTTTTGCTTTCCAGCAGTTCTTACTGCTTATTCATTCATGTTAGTACTTAATGGAGCTTATAGCCTGGACTGGAGTGCAAAGCATTTTTGAACCACAAAAAATAATAATAATAATAATCAATCAGTCTTGGGTTTTTTCAGTCTCTCCCTTTTCTAAGGATTTTCTAAACTACTTCTATTCTTCTGCCAAAGTTTTCTTGTTGTGCCTCATCCTCAAGATCTCTATGTACAGTTCCTCATGTCCCCAAGTTTTCACTAGATACTAAGAGTTTCCTTGAAGAGTGAAAATGACAAATCTATCATATCTTTTGGGGCAATTTCCTCAAATTACCTCCTTCAGCTGCTGCTGAAGATTAATTTTGACTGCATGTCTTACCTTTATACTTCTGTTTACATTCTCTTCTAGTGACAGTGAATCATGCCTTCGTTCTTCCATGACTATTCAAAGATGTCTATATGCCTCATATTTCTTGGGTAGTTATTTTTGCTGCTGTTCTCTTCATATAATAACTCAAATTCTCTTTTAATAATTTTGTTTGCTACTTTTACTGTGTGCCTATGTAAGTTTTAGAAAACCTTTTTACAGAGACTCCTTTTTCCTGGAAAGGGGAGAAAGGGGATGAAGGTTGCTCAGAAGGCACTGCTTCCTATTTACCACCATCTGATGTCACAGGCCAACATAATAAAATAGGAGACACATCAGGGCAGCCCTTATAACTCTTGACATGCATTCCTGTGATATGACAGATGAGCTTAACAACAGTGAGATTTATTCCTGAGCAATGTATCTGGAATGCTGCTTGATTGACTTTGTATTTCTCTGGCTTATAATAACATTATTCATAGCATTTAATAGCAGATTTGGAGTCTTTTTTTGCTAACATTTTTTCCTTAATGTATTGAAAATCAAAGAGATGAACCCTCTCCTGCAGGTGAATCAGTGTCTTTTTCCATCAATGAAAGTACTGTTTGTAGACCTAACAGCATTGCCCCTTCAGTCTGCTTTTGTTTTCTTCTACTACTGGAACTCCAGATCTAAATTAAAATCTTAAGTGAAATCATCTCTGGAACAGAATGCATGGTTAGCTTATATTATCCCAGTGCCTCTGTTTTAATTTCTTTACCATCCTGAGTAAACACGGAACGCTTCAAAACTACACATTTTATTTTCCTGCTATGTCTTTATGTGGATATAAACTGAGACGCACATGGAAAAGGCTTGTTGTTGGGCTTGTTTTGTGTTCCTTTCATGCAGCATTTAATTCAATTGTAACTCATAAGGAAATAACAATTTCGAGCAGCAAATCTCACTAGCTTTTGTACATCAGTACTTTTTCTCAACTCGTCTCATTTATTTTTATGACTTTCATTCTGCCTTTTATCTTTTTTTTTTTTCTTTCCAAAATTGGCTGTAGTCTGAAGTTTCACTTGTAATGGGAAAAATGCTAGTGATTTCATGAAGCCGATGGGTTAAATGTTTTACCACTTTTTTCTCCTGTTGAAAAAAAGTCAGAAGAAGGTCATGGGTGGTTATGCAGAATCCTATGTCTAAAGGTGGTAGTGTAGATTCAAGATCCATTGGAAGCCAGCAGAGATCTTACTTTCAGGATCAGATTATTTTGCTGTTATTTCCCCTTTTTTCTTTTGTTACCACCTATTTGCTTTCTTACCTCTCACATTTTGAAAGTAGTACTTCACAAGCTTTTGGGGAAGGCCAGACTCTTTGCCAGTTGTTTCTTCTGTAGCCTGAATTATGGGGCTTTAATTGCTCCTAGGTTTGAAAAGTCTTCCAGTGCTATAAATCCACAATTAACTTCCGATAATCACAAAAAAAACCACCTCAGGTCAGTAGAAAGACTAATTGAAAGATACTGATTCCAATGTCAGCATAATTACAAAGGGGTTCTGTTGGAATTTGCACAGTTGAATTTTTGTTCTGTTTCATGAAGCTTTGAATTGGGTGAAACCAATATTTTGTATATTGGTAGTATATTGGATTTTGTGCCTACTGGAAAGAATGAGCTACCCCTGCTGAACTGAATAGGTGTTTAAGGGTCCGTGCACTGATTTCAACATTATGAAGACTCTCCTCTTGAGCTAGCAGTTGTTCCTCTTATCAGTTTCTAAATCATAATAAATTGATGACTGTGGTGTTGGAACGAAATCTGATTTGCTTTTAGCCTAGAAAAAAAAGTTAATTTTCCTGCAAGTGTAAATAATACAGCTCCTTTCAGTTCTAGTTGTTGTTTTCAAGGTGACTAACTGGACCAGCATTGGTTTTTAATACCCGTTAACATGTCATTAACTTGCCAGTTAAACTTTGTGTCAGTTTGTGCAATAAAAAAGGGATAGGCCTAGGTTTATTTCTTCTAAATCTTGTCACCTTACTAGGCATACAGGACGGGGATCATTTTGCCTGTTGGAAATAATTGTCTCTTTTATTTCATTTCTCAATAGAGAAAGATGAGAAGACTTTCTCAGCCTAGTCACCTAAAATGAGAAGAGATTGACCTAGGAACAATTATTCATACACTTGTTTTAAAGTCCTGCAGATATTTGAACATTAGCAAACACAAGACATGGGATACTACATCTGACAATCTCTTACTTGGTGAGCTAGTTGAAAATTGCAGCTTAGCTCATTTTTGCTAGGGATATTAGCTCTAAAAAGAACCTGTTGTACTACTAAGAATAGACATCTCAGTAACAAAACATAGAATAAAACATGTAGGTTTTAGTCTCCATCAATCATAGTTTCATCTCTGTTATGGGAAGTTATCATGCAACCCATTGGACAGCCTTTCTCCTTGGGTCAGACCACAGAAGAGTGAACCCTATGTGCATATTCCCACTGCCTGCCTCCTAAAGTGGGAAGAAAGTCTCTTGGAGCAAAGAGATGGAGATCACAGAAATACCAGAAATCCTCACAGACATTTAAAATAGAGAAGTGACATGTAGGATTATGTGACAGCAACTGCACACTACTAGAGGATTTCCCTTGCAAATGTCAGTCCTCCAAGAACCACCAGCTGCACACTCACTGGGACTTGTTTAAGCCACAGGAAGCCAGCAACACGACTGTGTCTCTAGCTGTAGGTCTCGTGATTTCTGGACTTACTTGAATCATTAGGCCATCCTTTTACTGGCTGTCTTTATAACAAAACCAAAACAAATTCTTCCTTAAAATCCAATACTCTTTCTTGCATGGCATTTGAAACCACACTGTGTTATGGCAAATAGTTTACATATTTTATGGCTACTGGTGGCAATTACCATGAGCTGCTCCAATGGGACTTATCAGCCATTAGAAGAGTTTTCCAAGGGATGTGGCTAGTTTTGTGTTTGCTGGAGTCCAGCCAAGACTTGGATATGTTTTTTCTTAGGCACACTCAAGACTGACTGTAAGTTATTATA